AGACAGAACGAAAGTGCTTATGGCATTCGGGGGTGACTGGGAGATGAGTCATGAGAATTATTGAGGTGCTCCAAGTTCCCTGTTTGAGTAAAGAGATTAGTTACTTTTAGATTCTGATCAGTACACACGGCACAACTTTTGGAAAGCTGCTAAATCATAGACTCTGAATTTACATCCACGATCCTTCCCTCTGGCTAAGTCTGGGTTGGGCTGGCAAGGTCCCTTTCCTGGAGAGCCATCAACTTTAGCTGAAGAGTTGCTGGAAGCCTAGAACCTCACCTGTCACTGCAGGCTCTCGCCTTAGTCTCAGGAGCGGCCCGTCATGGCCACAGTGGGGACCTGCTTCTGAGCCTTTCCCGGCACACCGCATCCCTTCCTGTCTCAGACCCCTCCATTCCAAGCTGCTCCCTCACAACGGGTCTTATTCACAAAGAACGTCCGCTCACCTGCACATAGACGATCGGAAACGTTCCCTCTGGCGTGAAGCTGCTTCTCTCATAGGGGGGCGAGGGCCAGGTCGGGCTGACAGACCAGCAGCACTCCATCATCCTGGGCATATGGTGCCCTCCTCCACACTCCCCAAATCCCCCGCTCATTTGGATGTGTTCGGGCACACTCATTTAGCTGACCATGCGTACTCTCTGCTGGTAACATCCAAGTGTCCAGACCAAACTCAATGCTCCAAGAGGACTCAGACTGAGCCCCCTTCCAGTAGACTCAGTCTTCCAAGGCAGGGCCTGCGCCTCACCCTGGTATGTGCTTCTGAGAGATGTCTTGTTTGGAAAGATGAACCAGCATGTTGGAAGGATCCTAGGTGGGAAAGCTCCACCGGGGGGAAGGGCACACCCACGTTTGAGAGTCAAGAGGTGAGACCCAGGGGGAGGTGATTGGCATTTTGAAAGGGGTCAATGTTTGTCTTATGATGCGGGAGGGGGTACTTTCTCACTCTGGAGAGAGCAGGGTACTATCAGAGAATCTGTTCTATTCCTAAAATCCCTCTTCATATCTCACCATGTGATCTGGTTCTGCTCACATGTGTTTCTGCCATGACATCAACCACCATGTTGTAATTATGAGCCTTCACCACAGGCAAGCAGATGGGACTGCCCAATCTTGGACTCTGAGCCTTTTAAACTATAAGCTAAATCAACCCCCCCTTTTTTTTAGGCATTGTTCTGATGGACTGTAATTGCCAACCTGACACAGCCTAGCATCCTCTGAAAGGAGATGTCTGGATGGAGACAGTGCTAGAATACACTGACCTGTAGGCATGTCTGTAGGAAATCATCTTGATTTGTTCATCGATACAGGAGGGTCCATCCACTGTGGGCAGCACCGTCCCTAGGCAGGTGATCTTTCACCACATAAGAAAGCTAGCTGAGCATGAGCTGGCAAGGGAGCCAGAGAGCGAGGGCCTACTCCGACTTTCTTCAAGGGTTGACTATGACCTGGAAGTGTAAGCCAGATAAATAAATCTTTTCCTCCCCACGTTGCTTTTGGCCAGAGGGTTTTGTCACAGCAACAGAAATCAAACAAGACAGGCACTTTGTTCTAACAACAGAAAATGGACAAAGACAGATCCCAAAGAAGGCTTCACCAACCCTGGATCTCTCTTCCTCCATCGATTCAATGCAAGTCAATGAGTGTCTACCGCACACCCAGGCGCCCAGGTCCCTACCGACTGCTCCCTTTGGAGTCTCATGTTTTCATTTGCTGTGGTGACGCAGGGTCCTGCCCTTCAGCTGAGATCCTCTGGACTTCTTCTCTGCTCAAGTCAAACCACAGAACATCTTGACCAGGAAACAAAACCTTGAGCTAGAACAGGTTTCTGACCCCATCCCTGCCTCAGGGTGGGTCCCTTCTCTCTGACAATCTTTCCTTTTTCCCTTCCTGTTTCAACCCAGCCCAGTGTGATCATGTCACTCCTTTTATTTATTTATTTATTTTGTACCATCCCCTTGACCCCTTGGCCGCTGCCTCCCCAGGCTCAGTACTGTTTCCTTACATGCTCACAGTTGGCAGTCTGTCAGGACAAGTGCCCAACCTCTCCCTGGCCCACAGGAATCTATAAAGGTCACAGCAGCGCTTCAATGATGAGAGAGAGGTGACAGCCTAGTGCTGAGGAAGCTTCACAGCTCAGGCATCCACCCCCTCCCCAGGAGCCAAGCCCTTAGAAGAACTCCTGGGAGCTTCTTTATCTCTTCTTTCTCAAGAACTCTCTAGAGCTTGGCCACATTTGGGATCCAGGTACCTTTGCCTGTCAGCCACAGGGACAGATGAAGATGCAGAGGAGAAGTAACTCCGGGTGCTGGTTGCTTTTGCAGCTCCTGCTCTTAGGAGATGGTGAGTGATTTTATCTAAACATAGATGGTCTGGGAACGTCTGAGGAGGTGGGAGAGTTGGTAACAAGCTCCAGTTCTTCCCAGAGAAGAGACCCATCATTTCAACTCTTCAGGGGAATGGTGTATCATCATCCAGGAGCCAGTGACTGACAAATGTGGGCTCTGGTCTCACATTGCCTATAATCTGAGTTATGGCTCCACTAACTACACTGTGGAGTACTGGCTTCCCTATGCCTCAGTTAACACATCTGTGAGAGAGTAATAACCTGTGTGGTGTGGGTCAGTTGTTTAAATAGTAAGAAAAGTTCACTGTTTTTAAGGTTTATTTATTTAATGTACACTTGTGTTTTGCCTGTATATATTCTATATGAGGGTGTCGGATCCCTGGAACTGGAGGTACAGCCAGCCATGAGCTGCCATGTGCTCGCTGGGAACTGAACCTGGGCCCTCTGGAAGAGCAGTCAGTGCTCTCCAGCCCTGGGTTGACTGTTTTTTGTTTTGTTTTGTTTTGTTTTTTTGTTTTTTCGAGACAGGGTTTCTCTGTGTAGCTTTGTGCCTTTTCCTGGAACTCACTCTGTAGCCCAGGCTGGCCTTGAACTCACAGAGATCTGCCTGGCTCTGCCTCCTGAGTGCTGGAATTAAAGGTGTGCGCCACCACCGCCCGGCTCTGGGTTGACTGTTTTTAATGTCAGTTTTTCATATTCTAGACATTGAAATTCTCTCCTGTCTGTAACCCTGATCCCACATCAGTGTAAGTCATCCTCAGAGCAAGAAGAGGGTCCAAACACCAAGCTGGGTCTGGTGTCCAGGCCTGTAATTCCATCTACTGGTGGGGCTGAGGTGGGAAGTTGGCAAGGCTTATCTGGGCCTGGTCAGTGTGGTGAAACCCTATCTTAAAATAATATAGCATAGAATAAAAAAAAGTAAGAAGCTAGAGTGTAGCTCATGGCTAGAGTGCTTATGTGGCATATGGGAGGCCCTGGGTTTGAAACTCTGCAATACATTCACACACACACACACACACACACACACACACACACACACACACACACACACACAAACACACACACTAAAATAAAAAAAAGTAGGGCTGGGTGTGCTCCTTCATGCCTGAGGTCTCAGCCATCAGCCAGAGCTATCTAGCAAGACTCTGTCTGAAAATAAGAACTGACTTATTGGCAAATTTATTATAAAGACAACAATAAAAATGATCATAAAATTAAAGGAAGGCTCTCTCTGTGAGAAGGTGGTGAAGAAAGCACTGTCTCAAGTAGATGGAAAGAACCTTCTAGATTCTGGATTCAGCAAAAGAGCAGAGGGTGAGAGACCCCAGTGGGCCTTTGGTCCTCACTGGACTTCTTTCACAAAGCTTAAGATATGTTATGCTGAAGGCTGGACTACTGTAGTGTGTGAGAAACCCTCACGACAGTGCTTTTAAGCCTGTTGTCCCAGCACACAGGAGGCTGAGGCAGGAGGATCAGGAGGAGTTCAAAGACAACCTGGTACGGAGTGAGACTCTGGACTTATATGCCAAAGTTCTGACATCAATTAACACTCCATGGTCTGCCTCCGCAGAAGAGGGGAGTGGGATGCCTGGGGGAACTTATCATTTTGAACCCAAAGCAAGCCAGCTACAATTTACTTTGTGTGGGGGGGCATTTTGCCTGCACACGTATCCATGTGCCATGTGTGTACAGTGCTGTGGAAAGCAGAATGGGCATTGGACTCCCCGGAACTGGAGTTAGAGGAAGCTATGACCTGCCTACATACATGCTGGGAACCAAACTTAGGTCCCCTGAAGCAGCAAATGCTCTTAACCACTGAGCCATCTCTCCAACCCCATGTCCAAACTTTAATTTTTATTATTTTTATCCTTCAAAACATTCCCAATCAAATCCACCCCTTTCCCATGCCATTTCTGCTTGGGTCATCCTTGGCTTCCCTGCAAGGAGGTACCATAACCTGGAATTGTAAATAAATCCTTCCTCCCTTGAAGTTGCTTTTGTTGGGATATTTTATGACATCAACAGAGTACATTATATATTTACATAATATAACTTTTATCCAGTTACTTGATAAAACTATATCTGTCTCTGTCTCTCTCTGTCTCTGTCTATTTGTGTGTGTGTGTGTGTGTGTCTGTGTGTGTGTGTACACATCCATATTGAGGCTCAAATGCAGGGTTTTGCCTATACTTGGCAAACACTTACCACTAAGATGCAGCCCCTGTAATTCCTTTATGATATTTTTATAAAACTTGGATTTTTTATGTGGCTGGAGAAATGACTCAGTAGTTTGCAGCACAGGCTACTCTTCCACAGGACCCAGGTTTGATTCCCAGAATCCAAATGGTGACCAACAACCATCTGCAATTCCAGTTCTAGAGAATCCAACACACTCTTCTGCCCTTCATAGGCACCAGGAAAAACAGCAATATTTGTAGTACTTCATTAGATAATTAATAATAATGGTGTCCATAAAGCAATCATGAGCACTGAATAAAATCACTCATGCAATGATTTTGAGAAAGAAGGAAGCAAAAGGCAAATATGTTCAATCTATACAGTTATCTTTCATGGTTATATTCAGAAAAAAAACTTGTGTTATACCACAGTAAATATCAGCATTACCTCCAGCACACCCTTACCCTCTACATCAATGTGGAAAACCACTGAAACCAGCACGGCCTCCAGCTCTACATCCATCCCAACCACAGCTGAGACCAGCACAACCTCCAGCTCTACACCCACCCCAACCACAGCTGAGACCAGCATGGCCTCCAGCTCTACATCCATCTCAACCACAGCTGAGACCAGCACGGCCTCCAGCTCTACACCCACCTCAACCACAGCTGGAACCAACATGGCCTCCAGCTCTACATCCATCCCAACCACAGCTGAGACCAGCACAGCCTCCAGCTCTACATCCACCTCAACCACAGCTGAGACCAGCATGGCCTCCAGCTCTACAGCCATCCCAACCACAGCTGGGATCAGCACAACCTCCAGCTCTACAGCCATCCCAACCACAGCTGGAACCAACATGGCCTCCAGCTCTACATCCACCTCAACCACAGCTGAGACCAGCACGGCCTCCAGCTCTACACCCACCCCAACCACAGCTGAGACCAGCACAGTCTCCAGCTCTACATCCATCCCAACCACAGCTGAGACCAGCATGGCCTCCAGCTCTACATCCATCTCAACTACAGCTGAGACCAGCATGGCCTCCAGCTCTACATCCATCCCAACCACAGCTGAGACCAGCATGGCCTCCAGCTCTACATCCATCTCAACCACAGCTGAGACCAGCATGGCCTCCAGCTCTACATCCATCTCAACTACAGCTGAGACCAGCATGGCCTCCAGCTCTACACCCACCTCAACCACAGCTGGAACCAACATGGCCTCCAGCTCTACATCCACCTCAACCACAGCTGGGACCAGCATGGCCTCCAGCTCTACATCCATCTCAACCACAACTGAGACCAGCACGGCCTCCAGCTCTACATCCACCTCAACCACAGCTGAGACCAGCACGGCCTCCAGCTCTACATCCACCTCAACCACAGCTGAGACCAGCACAGTCTCCAGATCTACATCCATCCCAACCACAGCTGAGACCAGCACAACCTCCAGCTCTACAGCCATCCCAACCACAGCTGGAACCAACATGGCCTCCAGCTCTACATCCATCTCAACCACAGCTGAGACCAGCACGGCCTCCAGCTCTACATCCATCTCAACCACAGCTGAGACCAGCATGGCCTCCAGCTCTACATCCATCCCAACCACAGCTGGAACCAGCACGGTCTCCAGCTCTACACCCACCTCAACCACAGCTGGGACCAGCATGGCCTCCAGCTCTACACCCACCCCAACCACAGCTGAGATCAGCATGGCCTCCAGCTCTACATCCACCCCAACCACAGCTGGGACCAGCACAGCTTCCAGCTCTGGCAGGACAACCACCCGCAGCACCTCTAGCCTGGCAGTTTCAACTGGAACGTACACCACCTCCAACCACACTGACACGGTGAACGAGGAGAAGCCCAGTGGGTCCCTGAAGCCTTGGGAAATCTTCCTCATCACCCTGGCCTCTGTTGTCATGGCCGCAGGACTCTTTGCCGGGCTCTTCTTTTTCGTGGTGAGTGCCTGATATATAACAAGGTGCTTAGGGAAAGCAGGGGTGGTAGATCACAGAAGCCCCAAGTCAGAAGTAGAGAGGAAGCAGAGATCAGGAGAGTTACAAGTAGAAACACCTAGTTATAATCAGAAGGGCAGATCCACACCCCAAGGAAACCGCTGAGTCTGAGCAAAGAGTGCTAAGAGGGCTGGAGGCCAGCTGGAGGGGTTTCGGGAGAGGGGATGGTTGGAACATCGGGAAGAGTTTTGGGGAGAGGGGAACGGTTGCATAGTCACCCATGGTAAGTGCCTGGGGAGGGAAACATGGTTCTTAAACTATGGGCTCTTTTTCTAGAAAAGATACCTGTCTCTGAGAAATGCTGCTGACATAGCTCTCTACAACCCCCACCCTGGTCCTGGAGAACCCCATACACCTCTGTGGAGCCCTACCTGGTCCTGGAGGAGACCAGTAACCTCTGGGGTCATGGAAATGAATGAGAGATGACAAGCACTGCCCATGGAGCCCAGGACTGCATCCTTCAGAGGAGATCCGAGCTGCTTTGTAGTTCGTTCCCCCAGGAGTCCCTTCCCAACTTTGTTTGGGTCCCTGATATCCTTGAGAAAGACGCATTCTTCCCTTCTCCTGTCTTTACCAGACACAGGAAGGAGGGTAATGCATTGGTCATTTCACAAAGAAATAAATACATCCAACATGTCTGAAGAGAGAATCTATGTGTATGGGTGGGTATCTAGAGCTCTGAAGGAAACTGCCCAGTCATATGAGAGTGCTTTCATACTGGAATCTCTGCAGCCTTCACAATCTCCACAGCAAAATCCAGAGGGCTCGCTCAAGATCCGTGTGTTCTCATTTTCTTAGTCTTCCCGCCCCAAGCAGGATCCACTATCCTGGTGTCTTAGTTATTTTTCTAGTGCTGTGATGAGATACCATGACCCAGGCAATTTATAGAAGAGTTTATTGGGGGGCTTTCAGTTTCAGGTTAGAACGTCCATGACCAGCATGAGGAGCATGACAGCAGGCAGATAGGCAGGCTTGTTGTTGGAGCAGTAGCTGAGATCCCACATCATGAGACACAATGAAGAGACAGAAAAACACTGGGAATGACCTGGACTTTTGAAACACTAAGCTCATTCCCAGTGACACATCTCTGACAAGGCCACACCTCCTAATCCTTCCCCAACAGTTCCACCAACTGGGGACCAAGTATTCAACACATGAGCCTATGGGAGCTGTTCTCACTCAAACCACAGCACCTGAATGTATCTGTATGAATGTATTCCACATGAGTGCAGCTCTACAGAGGCCAGAAAAGGGTGTTAGATCCCCCGGGGCTAGAGTTACATGGAGTTGTGAGCAGCTGGCAAGGGTGTGAGCAGCTGCACGGGTGTGAGCAGCTGCACGGGTGCTGGGATCCCAACTCCAGGCCTCTACAAGAGCAGCAAGGACTCTTGACTGCTGAGCCATCTCTTCAGCCCTTAACTTTCTGGTTTTTAGGACAGGATCTTACACACTAGCCCAGGCTGGCCTCCAACTTATGGCAATTTTCGTGCCTCAACCTTCCTGGTGCTGTGATTCCAGACATTAGCCACCACACTCAGCCTAAAGTTTACCACTTCAATAAACAAATTTTAAGAGGCAGCTCATTGTTAAGGATAGAATTAATATATAGTCTGGAAGGCTAAACGTCAAAAGTAGTTCAATTACATATAATAGTAAGGGGATGAAAACCATGTGGAAAATGTAAGGTAAACAGGGGCTAAATCCAGGGCTGAAACATTAGCAATAAAGTTCAAAATTGAGATAAAAAGATGCGTAAAAAATCAAGACGATTTGACTGTGTAGACTGAGGACATGCACCAGCTGTTCCAGTTTGCTGTGTTGCTGTGATAAAAACACACCTTTAATCCCAGCACTCAAGAGGCAGAGGCAGGAGGATCCCTGTGAGTTTGAGGCCAACTTGGTTTACACAGTGAATTCCAGGATAGTCAGGGCTACATAGCAAGATCCTATCTGAAAATAAAAAACAAAACAACAAAGCTGCCTCCCAACACACACACACACACACACACACCCCACTGACCAAAAGCCACTTGGGGAAGAAAAGGTTTATTTCAGCTTAAAGTTACAATCCATCGAGGGAAACCAAGGCAGAACTGAAGCAGAGGTAGGTCTTGGAGGGAGGCCATTTACTGGCTTGCTTCTCTGGCTTGCTCAGCTACCGTTCATAGAGAGTCCAGGTCCACCTGCCCAGGGATGGCACCACCCACAGTGTACTGGGCACCCCCACAGCAATGAGTGATTATGAAAATGTCCTACAGACTTTCCTCCAGGCCAGCCTGATAGAGACAGTCCCTAAACTGAGGTTCCCTCCCTGAGTGTGTCAAATTGACAACCAAGCTTGGCTACCACACCAATTACATTGAGGGATGCCAAATCCCTTTGGGTTACACTCTGTAAACCGGTGAACTAGACAGCATGTAACTTGTACCACAATGAAACTATCAAAATATTACAAGGCACATCTTGTAAATATACATTTTCATATACAAAGAGAAACAACTAGTCCCTGGAAGAAGGAATGTCAAGGAGGAGGAATCCACAGCAATTTATTCCCAGGACTGTGCTCTGAAGCACACATTTCACTCAACAAATGGTGTGTGTACCCAGAGCTTGTTAACATCACTACCCAGATGCATCACGGGATTACCAACTTGTATGTATGTATGTATGTATGTATGTGGGGGAGTGCCATGGTGGATGTGTGGCTGTCAGAGGACACTTGTGGGAGTCTGTTCTTTGACCCCATAACCTACTTCTTTATCCTGACCATGTCAAAGCCCACCAAGACTACCCAACTTAAGCAAAAACACTCTAAAGAGTAATAAAGCTATAATTTCAATGTCTGTATTTACAGTGTAGTACAAATTACATTCTTTGAGATTGTTAAATTTATGACAAAAAGTTAGATATATAGGCGGATACAGTTCTTCAAAAAAAAATTTTTTTTTGAGAATATATCCACAGAAGGTAACAGCAACTAAGACTGCTGTTCAGGCACACAAGGGCATTTCCATGCCAATGGAAGTTCCAGTCAGTCAGCAGAGCCTAAGCAGCCTCATGGGAGTTCACTGAGTCTGAGGGATGGGTGCCACCGCTGCTCAGGGGCAGCTTGTGAAGACAGGTGGCAGCTTAGAGCAACCAGGCTGAATTCACAACCTCCTTCTATTTATTTATGTGTAGAGGTATGTGTGTGCACCAAGCACATGCAGTGCTAGCTGAGGCCAGCAGAGGGAGTCAGAGTTCCTTGACCTGGAATTACAGAGGTTTGTGAGCCCCTTCGGGATGCTAGGAATCGAACCTGGGTCCTCTGCAAGAGCATCCCTGGCTGAGGATTGAAGACAGAGCCTTGCCAATGCTAAGTGCACAATGTGCCTCTGAGCTTTACTCCCAGCCCTTTCCTGTATTTACTTCCTTGTAAACCACGTGCCCTGTAGGAAGGCACCTTGGAGGTCTCCACTGCACTGTGGAAACAGCCTTCATGTCTGGATGAGGAGAGAATAAGCTAAAATTAGAAACAACACAGACTTATTGAACCATGTTCAAAAGCTGATGGGACAGTAAGAATCAGGAAATAAGTTATTTGCTAAATAAGACTATCAGCTTAAGCCATGCAAGGATCAGTTTCAAAGCTATGCTGGGGGGCTGGAGAGGTGGCTCAGGGGTTAAGAACACTGACTGCTCTTCCAGAGGACCCGAGTTCAATTCCCAGCACCTACATGGCAGCTCATACCTGTTTGTAACTTCAGTTTCAGAGGACCCCAATATCCATGGCAAAAACACAAATGCACATAAAAATAAAACAAAATATACTTAAAAAAAAAAAAGCTATGCTGAGTCTTTAGGTCTTGTTAAAATTCCTTCCCAGGGGGAAGACATGAACAGTCTCTACCTTTTCTCCTAGGGTCCCAGCGACAAATTGGGGCACAGTTCCACCAGAGTTTACTCTGGGGACCCGTGAGGTTTTTTTGCCTTCCCTACAGAGCATAGGTAAGGGGTTGTTTACAGGGCTGTGGGCGCTCACTTCTCCTCGGCCACATCCAGCATGGCTTCAGGGGTGGACATGATTAGGGCAGCAGGAGAATGAAGAAAAGGCACACAGAAACTCGGTGGGCCGGGCTCTCTGATGAAGCTGCGGCACCCGGAAGCTCAGCATGCTTGCTGTGCAGAGTAGAACGGAGGGTGGAGTTATTGCAGCCACACAAGGAGGCAGGGTTTATGGTGTTCAGCGGAATCAAGGAGACCTGCTTAGCTAATCTTGGTAGGAGCAGTCTTCAGACCGTAAACATTCCGAGGTGAAAGCGATGGTGGACTCTTTCTGTGCATGCTATCAATACCCAGACCAGAGGAGGCTTGGCTGTCCCTCTGAACCCCACCCCAGTGGGGAAGGCTTTGCCATTTTCTCATGGGTCTGAGGTTATGGAGTCCTTGACATGACTGCTCATGTCAACAGTACACTCTCAGGGATCCCTCCAGTCCCCACACACAATAGGTCATACATGCAGAGGCTTTATCCAGCAGGGATAAAGGCTCCCCACAGTTGCACACACGGACCCCCTCCGCTATGTTCCCTGGCCTTTATATACTCCAGCTCCTCCCCAAGGCCACATGCAATTAAGGCAGAATTTCATACAACAGGCAGTAGGGAGCTGCTGATGCCCACGCGTGGGTCTTGTGACTTGCCTTAACTCTCCATGAAGGGGGCATAAACAATCAAGAAGCCGCCCAGATGGAATAACGCTTTCAAATGGAGACAGCTGAACTCCCCAGATGGCAGTCATTTGGCTCAAAGGAAAATCACTCACAACGAAGTCTCTACCACATGCTCGGTCCTCAACCCCTCACACGGATGAAGCTTAGCCCCTAAATTCCTTGTGCTGTGACAAACTTGTCAGCTCTCAGAGAAACCTGGGACAAGTCTCACCTGTAGCTCCTGCCAGCACTTCTTACCCCGCCCCTACCCTAATCCTCTCCCTCTCAGGGGCTGGACTTCCCTTCGCCAGATTCTGGTCCCTATATATCTCAGCCATTTTGGACGCACGGCCTCTTGGTCTGCTTGCTCCCTTCTCTTCCTCTCTCTCTCAGCTTCTCTCACTCTCCACCCCCCCCCCCCACCCCGCCCCTCTCATGGCCGGGTTCAGTCTGGACTCTTCCAGATGCCTCTGGCTGTTCTCTCCCTCATATCTACAATAAACTTTCTCCTCATCCATGCCTAGGAGCAGTTGTGCCCTCATTTTTTTACATTCAAAACTGATCTCTCTTACTGAAAACAAACACAAGCTCTAAGCCCGAAGCCCCTGCAACCACTGACTCTCCAAAGAGGCATGCAAAAAATGGCCTCAGACTTGACAAGTCCCCCAGGTAACTGCTCCAGAGTCATTCACTATGACCCGTCTCTTCTGATGACACTGTGTTTCAAACTCAGTGGC